ATAGGGCACTTTTAAACCATAAAACCGAATTTAACTGCACTAAGAATGACAATTCTCTGCACAAAAGGATGTTTCACAACCTGATTGATCAAATTGAGAATTCCAAGGATGCTGTGTGGCATCTCCTTTGAAGAAGCTGAACTGAGTGGGAGAGGGAGGCTTCTTTAGAATATGGTTATTTACTTCTTAATTCAACACAGAATAATTAAAGAGAGATTTCACTTTATAAGGCCACAGAACAGCTTGTTTCATAAAATTGTTATAAGCCTCCAGACTCTCATTTCTATTTTAGTAGTGATTCCTTATATTTGTTTTCAGAAATATTTCAAATAGATAGTCTTTGGTTTCTATTTTTATATTTGCTTTTTTTAGTTGTTAGAAATAAGATAAAGTTAGAATGGCAAGAGAAAGGGCATTTATTTTTACAATAAAATAAACTTACTTTTTATGATATTGAAACTATCTTTTTTGATATAGGTAGCCTTATATTTTAGCTGCTTAATTTCATATTGAATTATTTAGTTGAAAAATTAAAAGCAAAGCCTAATGAAACAAAGTTACTTGTTTTTCTCATTTTATGGATGTATTTTAAAATATAAAAACAGCTGTTTCATTTTCAGTTTCCTGAATTGAATCACCATAAGGGCTTTGCTGAAATTATATTTGATTAATAGCGCTTTTAAAACTTCCCCTACAAAATTTATTCATAGTATTTTCTTTCCATATAAAAAGGGATTACTGCTGTGTGTGTTAGGCATTTTGTTAAGTCTCCTTAGTTCATTAGACTGCCAGATTATGATTAGCAATACATATTAGGCCATTTACTAAACAAAGAATATTGGAAAAATGCTACATGCAAAGCATTGTGTTACAAGTGGTTCAACTTTCTAAATTTGAAATTAGATTGAGAGTATAATACATTTAGAAAATGTGGCTAGTTAAATTTAAAATAATTAAAATTAAATAACATTACAAATTTAGTTCTTCAGTCACACTAGGTACGCTTCTAATGCTCATAGCCATATGTGGCTAATGCAGGGGTGGGCAAACTTTTTGACTCGAAGGCCACAATGGGTTCTTAAACTGGACCGGAGGGCCGGAACAAAAGCATGGATGGAGTGTTTGTGTGAACTAATATAAATTCAAAGTAAACATCATTACATAAAAGGGTACGGTCTTTTTTTTTTTTTTTAGTTTTATTCATTTCAAACGGGCCGGATTCAGCCCGCGGGCCGTAGTTTGCCCACGGCTGGGCTAATGGCTACTACATTGGACAGAAAAGATATAAAACACTTCTATCATCCCAGAAAGTTTGACTAGACAGTGGTATACAGACTAGTTTGTGAGGAAATACATATTTTAAAAAACATTGTTTTCTAGGATATTTTAGGATAGTTTTAAGAATTTTACAATACAATGAAATTAAATGTTAAATAAATAAGGAAATATGCCACACAGAGTATTTTTTTAATCTTTATTGTTGAAAGTATTACATAGTTCCCCCTTTTCCCCCATTAACCTCTTCCAGCCAGCTGCTGCCCCCCCCCCCCAGGCCCCCACCACCCCATTATCTGTGTCCACAGGTTATGCATATATGCATACAAGTTCATTGGTTGATCTCTTCCCACCTACCCTCCCCTGCCTTCCCTCTGAGGTTCAACAGTGGAGTATTTTTAAAAATAATTGACTCTCTAGAAGAGGAGCCTGATATCATAGTTGGTTGCCTAGAGCTTTTGTACATCTCAGCTCCATAAGTAGGTCATAGGGTTTTGAAGGGCATATCCTCTGTTTTATCCAGTGTCCTCACCGCGCCAAAAAGTGTGACATGCATAAAGAGGGCATTCAGTGAATCTTTACAAAAAGCACTAAAGAAACTGAAGCAAGGAGAGACTCGGTAAATATTGGCTTTGAACTTGAACAGTAGTTACAAGTTTAGTTCTAAATGCTAGATTTAGCTTGACTCCTAGCTAAATCTAGCATTCTACTGCAGGGTCATTCTGAATAGTAGTAGGCCATGATCTCCCTCTGGGTCAGATGCTTCATGATAGAGTCACAAGACCAAGTGCCCCTTTCAGTCACTTTTTTTGAACTATATGCTATCTACACTAACACAGAGCTTCAATTCCCCACTATACCCTCTGTATATCTACTCCAGGACCAACCAAAGTAAACATAAGGCTGGCTTTCCAGGATTCTCATAATTTAATTATTCAGCTTGAATTACTATATGACTTCCTCCAATGAAGACCCAACTCTAATTCTTTCTGTAATTTTTCTTATTGTAGGACATGAATACTCTCTCTCTCTCTCTCTCTCTCTCTCTCTCTCTCAAAAGCAGCAGTGAAATCCCTCCCTACATCAGCAACATAGTGTTGTTTCAAAATATTTGCAATGAATAAATTTCAAAAGGTACTCTGACCTTTAATTTAAAATTTAATTAAATAAAGATTACTGTATTCAGAAAAAAAATATTTTTGAAAATTAGTTTAAAACCTAGAGAGCCACACACAAACACCTCCATGCCTAGATTCAAGAAAGGCAAATATTTTCAAGTATTTTTAAATCTCTTCATGATTGCTTAATCCAAAATACTGTATCTCCTTTCCTACTAGACTATATGTATTTAAAAGGTACAGAGATTATTGAAAAAGGAGGCAGGGTAGGAAATATTAACACAACTTTGGTCTGAAAGTCTTCTCTTAATCCATACCATTTATTTTTGAGACAGATGTTTGGAGGACATGTTTTTAGGGCAGAACCAGTACTAGTGTAAAGCTATGCCTGTTAAGCCCTTCTGTGCCATCTGCTTATGGGAATGTACACATTCCCATGTACAACATTAAAATAGCTGCTGCTTTTGGAGGTCACTTTACTAGGGTTGAGACTCACTTCCTACAACCATAAAACCACAGTGAGATATCATCTCCCACCTGTCAGAATGGCTATTATAAATAAATCAACAAGCAAGTGTTGGCAGGGATGTGGAGAGAAGGGAACCCTTGTGCACTGTTGGTGGGAATGCAGATTGGTGCAGCCACTGTGGAAAGCAGTATGGAGGTTCCTCAAACTATGAAAAATGGAACTCCCATTTGACCCACTTCTAGGAATATATCCTAAGAAATCAGAAACACTCATCAGAAAGAATATATGCACCTCTATGTTCATAGCAGCATAATTTACAATTTATGCTCAGATCTGGAAACAGCCCAAGTGCCCATCAGTAGACGAGTGGGTAAAAAAGCTGTGGGACATTTACACATTGTAATACTATGCTGTAGAAAAGAAGGATTTCTTACCCTTTCCAACATCATTGATGGACCTGAAGAATATTATGCTGAGTGAAATAAGCCAATCAAAGAAAGACAAGAATCACATGATCTCACTTATAAGTGCAATCTAATGAACATAATAAACTGACGAACAAAATAGGTCCAGAGGCATAGAATAGACTGACATATCTCAGAGGGCAGGGTGTTTGGAGATGAGAAGAGATTGACCAAAGAACTTATATATATACTAGAGGCCTGATGCACGAAATTCATGCAAGAGTAGGCCTTCCTTCCCCTGGCTGCGGGCACTGGCTTCCCTCTAACAACACCTGGGACCCAGGCTTCCCTCTGGCCGCCAGCAGGCACCTGGGACCTGGGCTTCCCTCCAGCCACTGGCAGGCACCTGGGACCCGGGCATCCCTCGCAGCCCCAGCTTCATCCGGAAGGTCGTCTGGAAGGACGTCTGGTCTAATTAGCATATTATTCTTTTATTATTATTATTATATATATATGCATAACCAATGGACACAGACAAAGTGTGGTGAAGACCTAGAGTACGGCAGGGCCTTGGAGCAGGGGAGGAAGAAGGGGGAGATTGGGGGACATCTGTAATATAGTCAACAACAATAAAACATATTAAAAAAAAATAAAATCCTGCCAATGTCTGGCCTCAACATCCCCCCTGTAGAATGGGGACCACAATGGTACCTACCCCATGAGGACAACATATTAAGATACTTAAATTATCATATGGATGCAGACCTGAGTTTAAACTTGGGCTCTGCCTGTTCCCACTAAGGGATGCCTCAGTTTCCCCCTCTGGAAAGAGAAAGAGTTCCTTTTTTGACACCCGTGGGGACTATTTTGAGACTCAGCTGCTTCCTATAATGACCCCCATTTGTTAAGCACTAGCTGTGTGCCAGGTTCTGGCTGTGCCTGCTCCGTGTACCTGTTTGCTCATCTGAGAAATGGAGCTAATAGGTAGAAAGATTCCAACTGGAGAGCATAGGTGGAGCTCCCTGCACGGTGCCTGGCACCCTGTCCAATGCTAGAAGCCTGGGAGCTGTGGTGAGCCCCGCCTTTCTGAGTCCTATCATCACAGTGCAAGAGTAGGCCTTTAATGCATCTAGCACTGGTCTTGCACACAGCAGGTGCTCAACAAATGCCCTCTTTGGAATTAAATAAACCTGGCTCTAAGGCCTTGGACACCTCACTTTCTCTTCCTGAGCCTTGGTTTGCCCATCTGAGAAACGGGCTCACCATGGGCACTGGGCAGGAGCAGCACCTGACACCCAGCAGAGCCTAAGACTGAGTGGCCAGGATGGCAAGTGTTGGGTGGAGTGTTCTTACCTCGGTGGGGTGGCAATGACCTTGTTCCCTGGTAGGTCAGTGGACCAACCTGCCCTTCAGATTGTGACACCCCTCCCCCACCCATGACCTCACCCCCAGTGGCCAGTGGAACCCTGAGGGGTCTGTGAGGTCACCCCATTCCGCTCCACAAAGATTCTCCTGGGGCAGCAGCCACTGGCTGTCTCCGTCAGGGGGAAGCTTCAGAGACCCTGGGACTCGGGAGCCGTGGTCAGGAAGAAGCGCCTGAGAGGGACACGGAGCGCTGGGACCCAAGGACACTCCAAGTGCTGACCCCGGGAGGCCAGAACCAGGGGCAGAAGTCTCGTGGGCGTGCGGAGTGTCATTCAGCAGGTCCGGGAGGCCCACTGCCACCAGGCCACCATGGTCCTTAGCTGGCTACTGCTCCTAGTGATGGCTCTGCCCACAGTCATGACAGGCATCAAGATGTGCATCTTCTGTGATGTGACCGACTCATCCTCCATCTGCCCCGGCATCCTCATGACCTGTGGCGACGATGAACAGTGCTTCACCGGCCAAGGAATGATCCCCGGCCTCGGCCCTGTCACCAACAAAGGCTGCATGCTGTCCACTTCATGTAGCCGCCGTGTAGAGCCTGTCATCTACCAGGGCATCACCTACAAGTTCAACTCCACCTGCTGTGATGGCGAACTGTGTAACAGGGCCCCCATCCCCGCAGGCAGCCTGAAGGCAGCGGCCACCACCTGCCTGGCACTGGGCGTGCTGCTGCTGCTGCTTCAATGACTGTGACCAGCGTGAAGGGCAGGGCCTGGGACTGGTCTCAGGGCTCCACTGCTCCTTGTGTCTCCTACCCCTCCCACTCCCTCTTCCCCCATTAAATGGCCAGAGGCCCTAGACAAAAAATAAAATAATGATGATAAAGCTTTGCAGTACTTTTTTCACGTAAATTATAGTGTAATAGTCTTTAGATATAAGTAATAGTTCTTATGCTGTTATAGCTAAGAGGAGTGATGAGTTGAGAAAATTATCCAGATAATCTAGGACCAGAGGCCAGATTTCTTTAGACTGTGAAAGGTGATGGCTTAAAAAAAACACAGGGCATGGTTGGCTGAACTGCATGTAGATCTCTTGAGACTGTATCACACTATCTAGTGGTTCTCAAACTCTTAGAAACACCTGCCACATTCAGACTAATTAATTCATGATCACTGGGGGTGGGCCCCAGGCATTGGTTGTCTTTTAAAGTTCCCTGAGAACCACTGGCAAAACAAAATGAAGCATTCTGTCCCAAGAAGATGTATGAACAGCCAATAGATATATGAAAAGATGTTCAATCTCACTAGCAATTAGGGAAATGCAAATCAAAACTACAATGAGATACCACCTCACACCTGTTAGAGTGGCTGTTATAAAGACAAGTAATACCAAGTGTTGGAGAGGTTTTGGAGAAAAGGGAACCCTCATTCACAACTGGTGGGAATGTAGACTGATAGAACCACCATGGACAGCAGTCTGGTGATTTCTCAAAAAATTAAAAATAGAGCTACCATACGACCCAGCAATCCCTAGCCTGTGTATATACCCGAAAAACTAAAAGAAAAAACACATGTATTTGCATCCCTGTGTTCCTTGCAGCATTATTCATGGTGGCCAAGACATGTAAACAACTAAAGTGTCCTGTGATAGAGGACTGGATAAAGATGTGGTACATATACACAATGGAATACTACTCAGCCATAAGGAAGGATGAAATAGTGCCACTTGCAATAACATGGATTGGCCTTGAGAATATTATGCTAAGTGAAATAAGTCAGACAGAAACAGTTAAGAACCATATGATTTTACTCATATGTGGGATATAAAACTGAAACTGGTGGACACAAACAGCAGTGTGGTGGTTGCCAGAGGGAAGGGGGTGGGGGAGAAAGGGTCCTAATATGTGGTGACAGGAGAGGATTTGACTTTGGATAATGGGCACACAGTGCAATATTTAAATCATTAAAATTGAATATAAATAAGTTTAACATGTTATAAAAAGAAAAAGAAGTGTTTGAGTATATGAATAAGAAGCAAGAAAATATAGAAAATGACTAAACAGATTTTAAAATGAAAACTATAACTTTTAGAAATATATATATATATCCCTAATATGCAAATAGACCGAACAGCTGAACAACCAAACAATTGAACAACCTTAATATACAAGATAAAAGCAACATTTTATTAGGATAAAATTATTTAATGATATTAATCTTTTTAAATTTGTAGAGTTTCAAGAAGGCCCAGTGTGTTATTAATTTTCATTAATGCTCCATATGTGTTTGAAAAGCTTTTATATTCTGAAATTATTGGGTGTATTAGATCAAGTGTGTTAGTTGTTTATCTCAAATGTCATATATTGTACTGATTTATCGTTTTCTTTCACCTGCTATATCTATAAGTTGGTAGGAAGAATTTTAAAATCCTTTCACTAAGGCGTTTTATTTGTGCAGTTATCTTCATAATCTGTCAAAACTTATTTTATATATTTTGACACTGTTTTTAGATGCATAATTACATAGTCTCAGTATGTATCACAGGTATATCTTTTTGAGAAGTGAAACTCTTATCATTATACTAGAGGCCCAGTGCACGAATTTGTGCATGGGTGGGGTCCGGCTGGCCTGGCCCCAATCCAGGCCCGATCAGGGGTGGGCCGGCTGGGGGAAGGGGCTTTGGGTGATTGGCCAGCGGGCCCTGCCCCCGATTGGGGTTGGGGGCTGATTGGGGGCAGGGCCAGCCATGGGGAGGGGCTGTGGGTGGTGGTCTGGCCAGCCCCATCCCTGAATGGGGTAGGGGTGCCGATCAGGGGCCAGCGGCCTGGGGGAGGGGCCATGGGTGGTTGGCCT